AAATAAGGTAGTTCTTTATGCATCTCCATTATAATCAATTGACGCTGGAAAGGTAAAATATCTAACGCGCATTTGAAAAATTTTACAGGACAGTGATTGAAAGTATTTTTTTAAGAAAAAAATCTAAACTCTAATTTTCTTTGTTATATGGAAAATTAGACATTTTTAGCTTTCCGATATAACATAGTAAATTAGAGTTATGATTTTTTCTTTAAAAAAAATTACTTTAAATCGCTCTAAAGTATTATTTTATATGCACGTTAGACGTTTTACCTTTCCAGAGTTGCAATGGAAAATAATGTTGTGCAGGAATATCGTCTATAAATTTCTTTAATGATATTACAAGGAGTAAATTTTTTAATAAATAAAAAAGAAAAACGCAAATTGAAAAGTAAATAAATAATACAAAGGATAACAACAACACATAGTCTGAATAATTCACAAAGACTTGAGTCATAGTCTAAAGTACAAAGTGTATGTAAATAATCAGTAAACTTTGATAACAGGCTGAAATTTAATGCTTGCTAATGGAGTCTTATTTACTTATCTTTTGGCCTGTCTGTTACCTAACGAACCAAAGTACAGAGTGTTACAAAAAAGTGCAGATTTCATTTTATAAAATAATCATAACTTTTTTGTACATATAAAACCGACCTCAAAAGTCTGTGGAATTAAATCTATTTGAAAAGTTTATTGATGCATTTTGTCTGCGGTCCGAACTTTTTTTTATAATATCAAGTGACGGAACGAACAAGTCCTGCGCCTGATGGTAAACAGTTGCAGTGCCACTCAGAGCTTTAAATCGCTAAGGACTTAGGGGCACTGCTACTGCGCTCGTCACCCGGAGACATAAGTTGATAAGCCCCATGTGCCGGTAATTTCACCAGTACACTTACCCTTCAAAAGCGGAACACAGTAATGCTAACATTACTGCTTGACGGCAGAAATAGGTAAAGTGGCAGTACTTCCCTGGACGAATACTTTCACTAGAAGCTCTACTGCTACTTAAACTGGCCTGCTGCTGACACTGGTCTTTTCCGCTCTTGTTGCGCATCGGTAAGTGTAGTCACTCGTTCAATAATAACGCACACACTCAACATAGCCCCGCACTAGGGAAACCCTGTGTTGTGCTTGCCATTTACACACAAATAGACAACCACAAATTACACCCAAACTCACGAAAGAAATAATTTAGGCCGTACGAATATTTCCCCGGCCCGGGAATCGAACCTGGGACCTCTCCGTGTTAACCGTTCGGCCACCGAGGCAGTTGACGTTCATGAGTCATAATAAGTTACAGTGCAGTTATATTTATCCATGTAGGAAGTAATAACATTTCTATGGTTATAAATACGTGATAGTTTACTAAATATAACCACATGTTTTAGCGGTAAAGGAAAACTAAAAATGTTAAATATCTGCATTATACATAAAATGCAGACATTTTCGTTCTCTCATTGCTAGGTTACAAAAAAACAAAATTCTTAATTTTCTTGATTCGGGCACATGACATTGTTTTATTATTTAATGTCTGAATCGTGTTATGCTTTCTAATTAAGAAAAAATCTTACTTAGTTATTTCTTTTTAACCGACTTCAAAAAAGGAGGAGGTTCTCAATCCGACTGCATGTATATATTTTTTTGTATGTATGTTACGCGATAACTCTAAATAATAACGATAAAATTTGTGAACCGATTTTGATGATTCTTTTTTGTTGGAAAAAAGGTATCTCGGTAGTAGTGGTCCCATTTAAATGTGAAGAAAATATTCCACCTCTATGGGTGGCAAACCCGGAGACGAATCCGGTTTCGCGCACTTTTCGATAACCGATTATTATAAAACTTGACAAATAGATGTAATTCCACGAACTTTTGAGGTCAGTTTTTTAGTACTCTGTACTGAGATCACTTTTTATCTTAAAATTGTTTTTGTTGAGGATTTTATTTTAATTACGATTTACACTTATTTTTACTGCATATGATTCTCACCTATAATTAGTTACGGAAATAAACAAATGTAATCATGGATGAAATATTGCAGTAACTATTGGTGTGCCTAATAAACAAATAAACTCGTGGCAGACGTGTGAAGTCCAGATCTAAGCTGGCCCTGTACTCTCGTTCCCCTTCCGATTTCCGTCCGAAACGATTACTGTCAAATAAGTAATATTCGACTAATTTAAATGACGCATGATGTGAATCAAGCTTGATACTTGACATTGTTTTTTGACGTGGTTGTGTCTTACTTATTTGACAGGAATTAGTTCGGACGGATGTTCGACTGAAAACGGGAGTAGACCCCCTGCAACGTGGCAAACTACAGCTTTATTATGGGGGTCCTGGATGTCTATTCTCGTTCTGACATCCGTCCGAAACAATTACTGTCAAATAAGTAATACTCAACCAAATTAAATCGACTAGTCCAAGCATAAAAATAAAAGGAGAAAAGTTAGACCTTGTTAATAAAGCAGTCTTCTTGGGAGTGACCTTAAATGTAAACTCAATGGTTTCCACATATACACGTATCTTCCCTGGCCAGCGGATTAAGCTCCGCTGCATACGCAGTCCGCAGAATACGTAAGCTTACCGATGTTAGTACTGCTAGACTAGTTTACTGTAGTTACTTCCATAGTATAATGTCCTACGGGATTCTCATGTGGGGTAAAGCGGCAGATATTCAAACCATATTTTTATTGCAAAAACGAGCGATTCGTTCTATGTGCCGTCTAGGCTCTCGGGTTTCTCTCAGAGAAAAGTTTAAGGAGACTGGTATCATGACTGTGGCATCGCAGTACATTTATTCAAATATTTCGTATGCCCGTAAAATACACATATTTTCGTTAAAAAAGAAGATATCCATAATATGAACCTTAGAGCTAAGTCCAAACTCATGGTATCACGATTTCGTTTAACCAAGGTAAACGACTCTTTTATGGGGAACTGTATACATTCTTACAATAAGATTCCGGAGTTTAATATAGATATTTAAGATTATCATTTCCTAAGTTTAAAAACTACATTAAAAATATTTTGATTGAAAAGTCATATTACAAAATTGAAGACTACGTGTTAGATAAAGATGTTTGGAAAGACGACACGGCTCCAGAATCCACACAAATTCGATTCAAAGTGTATTCCATAGCATTTAAGTTTATTTGAAAAGAGCGATCCCTAGAGATTTGTTCGTTCTTCTCAGGGAAGTCAGCGTAGTGAACGAGCAATAGCTTAAATGTGGCGTTTTCAAGTGTCAATTTATTTTACTCATGAAATAAATGATTCTTTGACTTTAACTTTGAGTAAAAGACGCATGATGCGAATGAAGTTTCATATTTCACATTGTTTTTTAATTTGATCGAGTATTAGTTAGTTGATAGTAATTGTTTCCGACGGATGTCAGGCCGAGAACAAAAGTGGACCCCTTGCAACGTGGCGGACTAGAGCTTTATTATGGGGGCATATAAAGCTGTAGTCCATTACTGTGAGCTTTACTGCGTTCCGGTTTAGAAGGGTAAGGGTGCTGGTGAAATTACAGGCACATGGGACTTTTCAACGTATGTCTCAGGGTGATTGGCGCAGGGGCAGTGCACCTCAGATCTTGGCGATTTAAAGCCCTGAGTGGCATTGCAACTGTTATGGACAGGTGTGTCGTTTACCTTCAGGCGCACGACTTGTTTGTCCCATTACTTAATATCATAATAAAAAGTAGTAAAGTTCTTTTTTATTTTTTATAAAAAAAACTTCAAAAATTTGAACAACATAGCAATAAAATACACTAAGAAATACTATAGGAACTTAATTAATTCTTTTTATTTTTTTTAGTTAGTTTATTTTAAATATTGATTATATTATCATTAAATATATCTAAATCATTAAAACATTCGTGAATAAAGAAACCATATTGTCTTCCAATCATGCTGTGCAGCCATTAGTATTGAAGTGGCACCTAGTCACAAGTGAAAAGGGCAATTATGCAATTATATAACATGTATAAGAATCGTACATAGTCGTTAACATGTTACATAGTGTGGTATGACTTTGTAAGATTCATCAGACTACGAAATTTCTTTTAACCCGTTATTTATTTACGAAATTATATCATTGTTGAACATGGCAGCCCCATTAGAAAAACAATACTTCAAGATAACACTTAATAAAATCTAACAGATAAATTAAAATACTACCTAACCAAATATGTAAAAAAATCTTCGCGGCACTACTTGTTGGCCGTGACAAAACGGATTGAAACCACCCAACCACGGAAACCAGCCTGTGCAACTAACCGTACCTTGACAGGTTTCATCCGCACACACTCCACGAGCAAATGCTGTACATCCTCAGGAATTCCACACACTTCGCAATTGCACACCGGTTTTCATGATGTCGCCAGGTCTGAGGTCCCGGGTTCGATCTCCGGCCGGGTCAGTGTAGAAAACTAACTTTTCTATATTTTCTCAGGTCTGGGAGTTTGTGGTACCGTCGTTGTTTCCAATTTCCATAACACAAGTGCTTTAGCTACTTACTTTGGGATCAGAGCGACCTATGTGATGTTGTCTAAAATTTATTTATTTCTTTATTATTGAATTCGGTGAATAATGTTTAATACGTTACTAGTTACAGTAGCGGAACGCAGAAAAGATTGAATCAATTGCCCACCATACTTAACTCGCAACTTAAAAACCTGTACTGATCGATTCCGAGAATTTGCCCACAAATCTTTAAAAAAAGTCGAAAAAATCCAAGCGTTTTACACTTGGCTGATATTCCATTCAATGAATGACGAATTACACTAATGTAAAAAGTGCTGTCCCTTTCAGAAAGCTTGTCGTTCCATAACACTTAAGGCACAAATTAAAAGAAATCTTCAACCCGGGATTGCTTGTCTAACAGATATTGCTAACATTTTCGTCCAAATATCAACAAATTGAAACACTGCCCCGTTCACAGATGGAGGCAGGTCGTAGCACAACACATAAGACACAAATAAAAAGAAATCTTCATCCCGGGCTAGCATGTCTAGCAGACATTGTCAACATTTCGTCTGAATTTCGACAAATTGGGCCACGCCCGTCCTGCCCTATTTACGGGACCAGGCAGGCCATTCCATGAATAGCAGTACTCATTTATTGTTGTTTTACGTATCATTATCATGTGGATCATTGTTAATTGAAATATTGTAACGAGAATAATAAAATGATTCCTTTCTAAAGATCTATTATAGTGTGAAGTTATGACCCTTTTATACCACATTAATAATGTTTCCGTTCTTCCCATTTTTCTTTTGCACATGTTTAAACGTTCGAACAAACTATACACACGTGCAAATTCAGCGTAACGCCAATAAAATCCCTAACATGATGTAGTTTTTTAAAGGTCTGGTCAGTTATTTCACTTTTCTATTTTAAGTTTAATTGAAATTTTTTTTTTTTAATTTAAAAATACTCAACTGTCATATTTTCCATTCAATTGTTTCAATTTCTTACTGATACTGGTTTGTCTTGTAATATTTCGTAAAATATTTTAACTGTTTCTGCTTTATAAAATTGACACAAAGATCGAACAAAGACAAAGAAAACTGAGCTACGAAACGAATCAGCAGACTCACGAATTTCTCTGTGCTTGTTGGCGATATTTCCGTATAAAAACATAATATTCAATAATAATAAATCTTGTTTCTGCTTTGTCACAAAATCTAAAAATAAATGCATTGTGTTTCATTTCCATTTTTTTCAACAAGGTTGAGTAATACTGTAGGGTACCGACCCTTAGTACAAATAGTGGATACATAGATGAGGGCACCGACTGTACTAAGTCAATATTAAAAGATGTTAACTTAATAGCTACTTTAAGTCTTATTTTCATTTAAATATAAAGGTTAATATTTTATATTCTCACTTTTTTCTTCCGCTAAATGTATAATGTGTGTATTATTTTTCGTTAAAGACATGTGAATACACTCGTCGTTTTTTACGTGCTCTTTCGTTCACTGTACCGTTACTTATCATCAGACGACTTTGGTCATTAGTTAACCACACGAAACAAAATTCTACACCACCAAAGTAATTACAAATGCCAACAAACAGATATGATACGATGACTTGAAACAAATGACGATATCCCGACACTGGACAAAACAGAGTAAGAAACTTTGTATGCAATGTGAGTCTATATTATGATGTAGCATAAAATTTTCCGATACAGATTATTATGCGCAAAATTGTTACGCGATTTTTTTTATAATAACAAATGGCGAGATGAACAAGTCGTGCGCCTGGTGGTAAGTGGCACGCCTGTCCATAGCGGTTGCAGTGCCACTCAGAGTTTTAAATCGCAAAGATCTGAGGGGCACTGCCACTACGTCCATCACCCTGAGACATAAGTTGACAAGTTTCAAGTGCGTGTAATTTCACCAGCACCCTTACCCTTTCAAACCGGAACGATGCTCACATTACTGCTTGGCGACAGAAACAGGTAAAGTACTTACACAATAAAAATAGGTACAGTACTTCCTTGGAGGAACTCTTAATAGACGCAAAATTGTTACGTGAATTTATAATTATTTAAAAATATACATGAAATACGGATTTAAAAGTAGTAAAACAAATAACTTTACTTGTTCGTCTAATTGTAATTTGTTTACTTAATGATAGAAAAGCCGAGTTAAATTCAGGTTATTTAACATAATAATAATAACGCATACATTCAACATAGCCCCGCACTAGGGAAACCCTGTGTCGCGGGTGCTATGGACACACACATAGACAACCACAAATTACACCCAAACTCACGAGAGAAATAATATAGCCCGTGCAAATATTTCTCCCGGCCCGGGAATCGAACCCGGGACCTCTGCAGTCCGGCAGTCCGACATGGTAACCGTTCGGCCACATAGGCAGTTAAAGTAACCAACAGTTCAAAACGAGGTTATTGGTCCAGGGTTACATCCCTTACAACACTATAAACTTGGCTGGAGATAGAATCTTCTCAGTATCGGCTAAGATGAATGAGTGTTTGTACGTTGCAAAATTGATCATAAAGTTATGCTGTGTACAATATCGTTACAAAAAATCGCTTCCATTCCGTTCCGCCGCAATATAAATTGAGCCAAATAAAAAATTGTTAACTTACCTATACCTAAGTTTAACTAATTTCATATTGTAGATCTCTATGACCTTGAGCCGTTGGGCGACGGGGTCAAATATTAACCGCACCCCATCCTGGGGCATATTTATTACTAGATCCACCGATAGCGGGTTCTGCAACAAAAAATTACAAATAAGATGCCACAAACCACATAAATTACATTGTAACACAAGGACATATTTATCATTTTCTTCCTACCAGTAGAAACATAAGGACAAATTAGCCTCGCGCTCCTACAAGTAGGAGCACCCGGTAGGAGCATGAGGAAATGGCCGCCTTAATCAAGAGAAGACCCTGTACAATAAAGAACTACGAAATTCACCCTCGAGCCATTTAGAATTTATTTAGAAAAGTTTGTTTCCCAAATTGATGCTACCGGGAATCGAAACCGAGATCTCCTCATGTAGCGCCCACAGTTCTAACAACTTGAGTAATTGTTTTGGGCATTGTATAAAATACCTGAATCCATATTATTGCCGAAAACATATAATTCTCGTATCATGTAATTGCAGTGTGTGATACGTCGTATAAATACTTACATAAACGTTGCAATACATACATACAGTTATAAATGTGTGTAGTGTAAATTCCTAATACAATAACTTCTTTTAAATAAACGTAACGTTTACAGGCATGCACACGTCATATATTTGTTATAACAAATGCGCCTGTTAAAAACTATTAGCAAACAAACTTATGCGAAACTTAAATTATACATAAATTTAGGAATTATACATAAAATTCAATATTATATGAAACTATCTAATTATCATTGTGTTTATTAAGTGTGTGTAGTGTAATTTCCTAATATAATAACTTTTTTTAAATAAACGTAACGTTTACCCGCACGCACACGTCATATATTTGTTATAAAAAATGCGCCTGTTACAAACTATTAGCAAACAAACTTATGCGAAACTTAAATTATACATAAATTTAGGAATTATACATAAAATTCAATATTATATAAAGCTATCTAATTATCATTGTGGGTGAATGGACTTGATGGAACCGCGACAAACATACTTTGTTATTCTTTCATTACATTGTCTCGTGGCTTTTATACGTAACATATACCGTGAAATAACATTGCGTAACAAAGTACATTTTGTCTTGTCTTGCTTACTCATCATTAACTATGTATAGTTTTCACAAAATTAAATAGTTATGTAGTTGTTGTCGATAGTTTTATCGATAGATTGTGAAAGAAGATAAAATTTTACCAAAACCGACTGAAATGTGAATATTACAATGTTCTAATGATTACTAATTGCGTTATTGCCTTCTTTATTCTCATTTTGACAGTTGACCTACGAGCATCGAGATTAATTTTTATTCATGTATATAACAAGAATAGCATAATTTGATTATCTATATTTAATTAAAATGAAAATCTTTAAAATATGTCTCCTCTTTGTATTTTTCATAAACGTAATTCTAAATACAGTGTATGTAACTTACAAAAATTGAAAATTCAAATGAACTTCTACTCAGTCATGTGGATGAATAATGGGTCGAGATGATCCAAATGAAACAAGTTCGGCTGTTCATTCTATAAGCGTGACCAATATTTGCTCGATAGTCAATAGAATATTTAGGGACTGCAATCACTAGCTGCTCGCAAGCGGGTAACATTTTTGCGCAATGAGGTGTCATTTTACTCAGTCTTCAAAAAAGACAGACTATAACACCCGATGCACGTATGCACTACGGTATTCTTTATTTTAAATATCGATCAAGTTTTCTTAGACAGTTACGCAAGTTTGAAACTATGCCTCTACCACGAGTTTACTGCGACAGTTGTCGCTAGCGACCGCGTAAATTACTTCACAATTTTGTAGGGCAAATTATGCAGCGCAGTCACAATAAGAAACAACATTTTGACCAACATTTTACGCAGTTAGCAAAGTATAATGAAAGTTGTGTTAAAGTGTGTGTACTACAGGCGATGGGTGAAGAAGCAGCAAATGCTGCAATGTAGACATTCAACGCCTACTACTTAGAGCGAAGTCTCACGGACGCTGCGTCGTCGATTATAAATTCAAAGTACTAAGTTACTTGCGGTAGTGAGCTGTTTCAACGCACCGTGTGGCACGTCGTTCTGATTTACATGTATTACAACGCAGCGCTAGAACGCAACGTCGTCGCAACGCTGACGCTACGCATCATGTGGCATCACTCTTAAGTTGGTGGTAGACGGAGAATGGTCCGTCGTATTTTAGCAAACCGTAAATTAGTATGTAGCTTGTATGACGCCATTAAGTGAGGTCAGAACTGAGTAACGCGCCGTTGTATATCACCTGATTTATGAATGCCTCACTGTTTTATGATTTAACGTGCTAAATTCCGTTATTAAACTGGATCAGGCTTCGAAGTCATCTAGATATACATTTTATTTATTCTTTTATTTATTCATATTATTACATCCATAGAATGCCACCGTGGCCGACCGGTTACCATGGGCGGCTGGTTGGCATAGCGCCTGCCACGGTTTACTAGAAGACGTCGGTTCGAATCCGGCCGGATAGAAGGATTTTTTTCTAAATGTACGATCTTGACATTAATAATTATAACAAACTAGTGGAGTAATTTCACATAAATTCAATAAAAAAATTCATTAAGACAATACTTCATAAAAGGAAAGTAAAAAAACTAATTAAAAAGGAGGCTGCGTCACAGCTGGTCGTCAACAATATACGTATTGAATTAGCAGGTAGAGTGCACATTTCTGTTTATTTTATACGTCTGACTAAATCTAAACCAATGTATATTTCACAAAAATACTTGGTGGAGAGGTAGGTACCAGGTAGCACGACTCTAAAAATGCAATTGAGGTCGGTCGCATGTTTTTAGAAGTTAAAATAGTATTCGTAGATGCCGTCGAAGTTCTAAAGCATTGCCGTATTTGTGCACTAAAAAATGCATAAATCTGTATTTATAACATCACCTGATCACTATAAAGTACTTGCACTCCTCGTATTGTGCCCACTTGACTCTGTATAATGGCCACCGACTGAGAGAAATGCATGCCTGCAACAAACAAAACGTACGTATTAATAAAACTGTATAAAGTTCAAGGAAAAAATAAAATAGTCAATTCTTATAGATGATTCATAAAATCCACAATGGGGCAGTTGGAATGTGACCCAAAATTCATTCAATCCAATTTAAATGAGCATTGCCTGAAAGCCTTCGTGTTAATTTTAATCAACCCCAAATCACGACCTTTCTACAATGAAAATAGACACATAATACACAAATACCCGTCTTTAAAAAAATACGCTTAAAATTTTGCACGTCACATTCAAAGGCAGCCGTTTCATCAATTTGTACGAGCCGTCAAAAACAAATTGACTGAACAAATCTAGTACTAAGTTATAGTAGAAATTTGTAAACCCTTCTGTTTAACAATGTAGCGTCTGTGTACTCACTTACAGATACCGCAGGACGTCTTGACAGGTTGTCATTTCAATACGCGAGTTGGTTATTTATTGGTTACCTGTGCCTCTACCAACCATTTACCGTGACAGTTGTCGCTACCGACCGCGTAAATTACTTCACAATTTTGTATGGCAAATTATACAGTGCTCCTAGCGGTCACAAGAAGAAACAACATTTTGTATACAAACAGTTTACGCGGTCACTAGCAATAACCACGGAAGAAATAAATATTTATGTGGTCTGTGGCGATGACTATCACTGTAATCTCATGGTAGAGGCATCGCATATGCTCATCGAGTATATATAAACACAAAGAGACGAAATAAGGGCCATATATTCCTGGTAACACATTAGCGATACAGCTCTTATAAATATTAACTCCCGTTTGTTCTGAAATATAGACAGGCCAACTACTGACCGGTGTGTACGTCTCCGTATATTCCAAAAAATATTCTGCATTTATTGTAATAAATATAATATCTCTAACAGTGCCGTGCTGTTCTTTTCGGTGGTGTGGGAAAACCAGCAAAACATCTAATTACAAAATAAAGGGAATCACATTTCATCGGTAATTAAATATTAAATATGTAATTTTGCAATTTTCGTTTATTATAGCAAAGCTCAAGCTAACTGGTCGATTTGAAGTGAAACAGTTGATGACACCCGTCAATTGTTTCGAACTCGGGCTAGCCAATCGGAGCGCAGTTGTCACAGTAATGATATGGCAGAATAGTTTTCAAACAAATTAAGTGACATTTCGTCTCTATTTCTGGTTATATACTCGATGCTAATGCTCTAAGGTGGCAACACTGCTATCTTCGCGATTGCATTGTATTCGAGATCAAGATGACAAGTGCAATATTATAAGTAAACTCATGAAAATTAGAGGAATGCTAAAAAACTTTAATTATATGATAACAATATTATATGTATATTGAGCATTGGCTATAGAGCCATCAGCTTACAAAGGTAACAAATAATTAAGAAATTAAAAACCTGTAAACTTATACTAAAAATTAATTCATGTACTTAAACTATAACTACAAAATCGCACTATTTTTTAGAATTTCATAATAACGATGTTCGACCAGAACGTTTAATTTGAAAACAGAATTAATTCAACCGTTTTTTGTTTCCGTTGAAGACGTCTTTTGTTTTTCTTTTGTTGAATTTATTAGGAATTACTTTGTGTAAAGTCAATGCTGAAGTTACAAATTCTTGAAATCATCCATTAATCCAATACATTTATCCATTTTACTTAATTTCTTTATTTTATTGTAGATACAACTACATTCTACATATTGATACATACAGAAGATACAAAGAGCAGAACTATAATTTGTAAGGTACGTATTTTTTTAACAGCATCAATATTGCAATATTGCCCCCAATTGCTTCCGAGGCCCCCACGGACTCCTCAGCGCCCACTGTAGGTACCACTTTGAGAACCTATGCCCCACACGAATGTATAAATTCTAAATCTTACTTCCAATTATAATTGTACACAATATTCACATTAGACATTATTATATAAATTACAATAAAAATAAAAACATTGATGTTATTATTAGTTGAAACGAGAGTACAGTGTTGTTTTGAAAGATTTAGTTCATAGTTTTTATTGGCTACACTCCGTCCAACCATTTATTAAATTTTTGACAGCTCGAATTCTAAACAATTAGTGATGTCCTAATGCGTTTCCGATTCTTCCGATTCCGATTTTTTAATATCAATCGATTTTACTTTAGAAGAAGTTTAAATCGTGAATGTAAGTCGGTTTAAAAAAAGATATTGTCTGATTGGGATCGTGATGTTGCGTTTGACAATAATTAATAATTAATGTTAATGAGGATTCAAGTGATGATTCCCGTTCATATGGAATAGAATCCGACGCTGCATTATAATAAAGAATAAGAATGTATTATAATTATTTACAAATTTATTTCATTTCATTATAATTTATTAGACAGGTACCCAAATTTATCAACTTAGATAATCTTCGTTACATAATCTGTTGGATAAAATTAAAAAATTAAAGAGTCCAAGAAGTATTCCACTTTTTGTCCATGGTTGGTTGTATGTCAACAATTACGATTCGCTCTGGACCTTTTGGAGGGAAAAGTGTCGTTTTTATTTTGACTTTCAATTATTTTGTGAAATCTAGTTTAAAGTGGAATAGGATAGTGCTATTGTGCCTTAATCGAAGATTAAAACACGAAATTATACGAATGTCGAACTAAAATACCCGTATCGGCCCGTTTTGAGGAATCCCGAGTCAATCCAAGCACGCCGCCTCAAATTGCCTATCCTCTTTGTGGCGGCCATATTTACGGAAACATATTTAAACTTCATGTTTAGGCTGATGGCTTTGCCAAAGCCTTAATAAATAAAAAAAAAACAATAATTACGGAACTTTGGAGGCATGCGTAAGTCAAAAGTTAAATAAATGGTTGCACCACAGACCTAAGATCACGTGCGCTATCTAGTGGATTGGACGGAGTATAAGCATAGTTATTATATTAGACATAACAAAATAACAAGCCGACAACGATATTTATATGATGTTATTAATATCCTTATCAAAGAATCTACGTTCGCAGTTAAAAATCCATATTTTCAAAATATTTACACAAACTACGTAACGGAATTTAGGAGATTTGTAAAAACAACTTGACTCATAGATAAAATAATAACATTTATGAAGGTTAAACAATAGTAGGTATGTGACGTGCGTGACGTTGTTAACGTTATGTTGTTTCAAAAATAAATAAACGAATCTATACATAACTAGCTGGTGCTCGCGACTTTGTCTGCGTAGAATAAGTACTTTGAGTAGCCTAGCCGTGGTCGCGTAGAGATCTTTGCTCGTGCAGGTATGTGGGCACAAGGGGCACGACTGCAAATGCTGCATGGACTGTGTTGGGGCACTACAGCCGCAGCGACATTGGGTCAGACTAGCGTCCCTGAAACCCCATTTACACATCTCGTCTCTGCAACGATCTAAGAGCGAAGTCGATTTAAGGACTTCCACACGGGCCGCAGCAAATCGCAACCTGGTAGGTAAGGTTATGAACAAACTTTCGTTATGTAGTTAGCATTTAAATTAATTAAATGACCTCTCCTAAACAAGTTTCCAAAACTTAGTTAAAATAAAATATGTAAAAATGCATAGCCGATTTTGACACTAAAGCGACGAAATTAAGAGTCGACACTATCTCAGCTCGAATTTTTTTCCGTATCAATAAGGTTCATTTTGCTTGGGTCCAGCAGCATGGACACTGGCTTTATTTTATAATTTATTTTTTTGCAAACGAAATTAAAGCCATTTGAAGAATGTATATCGTATACTATACGAGTTCTATTTAGTTCAGTTGATATTTAAAAAAAAATCATTGGCATGTAAAGCACGTATTGAATACTCAGGGCTCATTGAAAACCTCAGGGCTCATTGAAAACCAGCGCCACAGTCAATTGTGGCTGTGGCATAAGCTGAATGAAGTCCTTTTGCATACGCCACAACCGCACACATGACAGTACAACATTTGTAGTTGTTATATTTAGTATTTTTCTGTTTTGCTCTTTGTTTGTTATTGTCTTATTTTATTTTATTTTAATTTTGTAAATTACGTCTTTTTGTTTTGTTTTGCTTGTCTAAGTGGTATCAATATTTTTTTTTGTATCTATGTGTTGTGCGTTGCAATAAATGTATATTCTATTCTATTACCGCGGTTTTCTTGTAAAATTTCGAGGTAAGTTTGTGTTTTTTTCTATCGTGAAAATTTTTACTTAATTTGTTTTCACACCGTAGTATAATCCGTGTATATCCTCAACTTGACTACATATTTTTTCCAAAGTGTTGAACCAAAGCCAATTGAGGTTGTATGGACTATTAAGAGTTTGTATTCAAATTTGCCGTTGACGAAATTCAAAATTATCATGAAACAATTAGTTTCTACAAAAAGTTCACACACAGCTGCAGGAGCTGCGTACCTGAATGACAAAAATGCACAGTACTCATCCATTTAACTCGTTCAATTTGTTTGTATGACATTTTAAAATAAATATTATAAATGATAAATACGGAAATGAAACTATTTTTTTTCCTATTGAATTCGAACTATGGAGTTCTTAGGTTTTCGTGTATATATAGAATAAAGCGCGAGAAAGCGCGAGAGAGAGAGATACGAGAATGGCAGTATATCGCGCGTTATATCGCTCTCGCTCAACTCGCGCCTTGTCGTGCTCATCTACAGGGAAGTACTGCTACTTTATCTAAGTATTTCCGGCGCCAAGCAGTAATGTAAACATTATCGTGTTTCGGATTTGAAGGGTTAAGGGTGCTGGTGAAATTACAGGCACATAGGACTTTTCAACTTATGTCTCAAGGTGACAGGCCCAGTGGTAGTACCCCTCAAAAATATGCGATTTAAAGCTAGCTATAAGTGGCACTGCAACTGTTATGGACAGGCTTGTATCTTACTATCAGGCGCACGACTTATTCGTTGTCAGTTGAAATTATGAAAAAAAAAATTTGTGTAGCTTTTCGTTGTGGTATTAGTCTGAAAAAAAAAAGTAAATAGTGTTAAAAG